TTCTAAATATTAGGCTCTATTGCTTCCCCAGACATATATCTGGGGATTGCATTTATTTTGGAGGGTCATTGAAGACATGGGAATGAAAAAACGTACAGAATGAAAGATGAGGGCAGAGGGCATGGACACTAACATTCCAAGCATGAACAGAGAATGAGGGGCCCACAAAGGAGACTGAAAAGGAACAGTTAGCAGTAGTAGGGAAATCAGGCAAGGTAAATTTCAAAGAAGCCAAGACAAAGTGTGTCAAGGAAGAAGTGATCAATTGTGTTTGAGGATGTAAGGAAGGCAGGTAACATAAAGACAGAAAAGTGTCTATTAGATTTAGCAACAGAGATTAACAGTGATTATGGTGTGAGAAGCTTCAGTTGGCATAGCAGGATCAAAACCAGATTGGAGTAATTTAAATCGTACAAGAAATGGAGATGGTCAGCACAGAATATAGATTACACTAAATAATTTTTGGAGGAGAAAGAAGCGGCTGCCTTGGCATGTTTACAAGTTGATAATTTAGATGCAACAAAGTGAGAGAGGAGAAAGATGCCAACTACTGAAGAGAGGTTCCTGAGGAAATGGAAATACACTCTGTAGTTAAGAGTGTAGGCTCTGGGATTACAATGCCTACATCTAAGTCCAGCTTTGCTACTTACTGCTGGTTAATTTGGGAAAGTTCCTTAATATCTGCAAGCATCAATTTACTTACCTATAAAATGGAAACAACACTACTACTTCACTGGTATACTGTACGCCTTAAACAAGATAATGCATGGGGAGAACTGGCATATAGTAAGTGCTTAAAAACTGTCAGTTGGTGTTATTACCTAGGGATCCAGAGCACAAGTAGAGGGACGGCCCTTCATTAAGAAGGAGTACATTCTTTATAATAGAGAAAAAGGAGGCAATAATAGATAGCAGGTAGGTTTGGGGTGGGGGTGGGGAGACAGAGAGCTCTTTGCTGATGGTTTCTATTAATGTTCTTGGTTGAGAATGAGGCAAGGCCATCTGTTAGAGTGAGGAGGAGCTGGTAGGATGGGACTTGTAGAGAGTGGAGAGCCGTGCTGGGACACCAGCCAGCGAAACATCAAAGTACCTCTTGCAGTGAAAGCCCCATGAGTCTGCTGAGGACTCCGAATTCTTATGGCTCTATGATTTCTTCCTCAGTGCTCAGCAACCCAGTTATAGGAGTGAATAAAACAGAATGATGGATTATCTTAAGTTGAGATTTTGATAGGCAAGTGTGATGAAAGAGTTAAGAGGTCACAGGTAAATTTAGGCATTGACAAGAGTGGCTAAAGTGATGGAATGTAGGTTTTGGGCTGGATAGGGAAGAAAATAGAGGCAAGAAAGAAATTTTCAGAAAGCATAAAAGGACTAGAAGTCTTGATAAAGTCAAGGTGTACGATTAGGTACTAGGGATATAA